TTCTGTTGCTCAGTGAAGCTCCTTTCCGCCTTGCTCACTCTCCAGCTGTCTGCGTACCTCATTCTTCTTGGATGCAGGAAAAGAACTCGGGCCCCACTGAACGGTGGACTGAAAGAGCTGTAACACAAGCAGGGCTCAAACATGCCCCCTGCTCACCATGTTGGGGGCGACAAGAAGGAGAAGAGCTGCAGCCCTTCTGGCAGCCCAGACCCTGAGGCTCCCTGAGCCAGGGCTGTGACATGCTGTAACACCCTCTTTGGGGCTCTGCAGTTCCTCCCATCTCTGAGCTTTCGGACACCACTGCATTCCCCTTGTCCAGATGCTGGTGCCTGCAGTGGAAGCCGCTTTTGGTACATCTGGTCCCGCTGCAGCCTCGCATGGAGCTGGTGCCTGTGCCAGCGCCGAGAGCTGTCCACCCCGCTGCAGCCAGTGCGCCTGGTTGTGTGCAGTGGCAGGACCCCACGCTCACTCACTCACACACCCATCACTCCGTGCCTGGCTCACCCTTGGCAGACATGGGATCCAGGCCGGTATCACCAGTGGAGCACAGCCTGCCAGGCCACATGGGTGGAATGAGCCCAGCAGGCACAAGCAAAACCCAAGCAGAGGTACCACCGGCCAAGAGGTTTCTGGATCCTGTGAGACAACTAAAGTCATGTCCTTTACATAACATTTATTCTATATAGAATGTATCCACATACAATGATGTCAGCTTTAAAACAATCACTTGTATAAAATCATCTATAAAATAGAGTGATACATAATATACCTCAGTGAATTACTCTGATGGTCTAGGATTCAGAAAATGTGATCATTCTATTTTCTATTTTTTTGGCCACCATTTCACTGGGTTGTCTTAGGTTCCTTTTTTTTTTTTTTTTTAATGGAATCTCGCTCTGCCACCCAGCCTGGAGTGCAGTGCCGTGATCTTGGCTCACTGCAACCTCCGCCTCCTGAGTTCAAGCAATTCTCCTGTCTCAGCCCCCAGAGTAGCTGGGATTACAGGTGCCCGCCACCATGCCTGGCTAATTTTTGTATTTTTAGTAGAGAAGGGGTTTCACAATATTGCCCAGGCTGGTCTCTTGACCTAAAGTGATACACCTGCCTCGGCCTCCCAAAGTGCTGGGATTACAGGTGTGAGCCACCGTGCCTAACCTTTAGGTTTTTTTTACTGTTCTGTGCCTCAATTTATTTACCTTTCATGTGGGATAACTGTCCTATTTCACAGATATGTAAAGAATAACATAAAATTATTAAACACTTTGCAAATATAAAATGCTATATAAACGATAAATAGTAATACTGATACACTCATATAAAATAACATAAAACTTTGTTTATAATCTAAAGTTTGGTCCTCCTGTACCTATTTTTCTTTTTCTTTTTTTTTTGAGTCAGAGTCTTGCTCTGTTGCCCAGACTGGAGTGCAGTGGCATGATCTTGGCTCACTGCAACCTCTGCCTCCTGGGTTTAAGCAATTCTCCTGCCTCAGTCTCTGGAGTAGCTGGGATTACAGGTGCACACCAACATATCTGGCTGATTTTTTTTTGTATTTTTAGTAGAGATGGGGTTTCACCATGTTGGCCAGGCTGGTCTCTAACTCCTGACCTCATGATCCGCCCACCTCGGCCTCCCAAAGTGCTGGGATTACAGGCATGAGCCACCGCGCCCGGCCTCCTGTACCTATTATTATCGCCCTTCCCAGTTAAACACATCTTATGCTACACTGCTTTTAGTGATTTTCCATACTTATTTAATTTTAGGACTAAAAAATTTTTTTAAAAACCAATATGAGTGGAAATTTCAATAAATCTTGGCATGACCTGGCAAAATAACTTAATAATTGAGTTCTGAGCTCATAAATAATTGAAGCACCAAACTTCTTTCAGCCATTAGTCAGTACTTAGCCATATAGAACACAGTAACTATGCTTATTTTGATTGCATTACTGAAAATATGATATTGAAAAATTTGTTCCTAAATTTTAAAAAGTCTTAAGATCTGATACCCATAGAAGGAACATCATGTGCTAAGGATGTGATTTGCTTCACTAAGAGACCATATGGTTACCTGCTTATAAGCACAGTGAGTAACAGGAGTTATGAAATGAGGCTGCAACGCTCAAAGGGAATTCAAGAAGTTGTCTAATTCCATGGTTTTCAACATTGTGCACCTGAGTTCTGCAGAAGTGTCTGGGGAAAGGTTTGTGGGGGGCTTTAACCAGAGCAGCTCTGATTTTAGAGTTCATCCCTTAAATTTGAGCATCTCTAGGAAATAATTCATTTGAAGAGTTTCTCAGGTTAAAAAATTACTTTAAACTGCAGATCTAGTCCATTTTGTTTCTTCCAGACACTAGGCATGACTGCAGTGGTGCTTTCTTTTCGCAATGCTTCATCCTATACCCAGACGCTCTTGAGAGTAATGGAGTTAGAAGGGCATTCAGAAGTTGATAAATGGCATTCCTGCAAGAGCAAACTTTGGTCTAACCAAGTCTTGATATTTAAAAAAAAAAAAAATCCTTGGCATAAATAAAGCTTATTTAAACAGATTATACCCCTATGTAACATTTGCCCACATGTAAAAACCAAAGAATTCAATTTTCTCAAATCATCAATAGACAGTTTCACTCCAGAAAATAACAGGTCTCTAATGTCTTAGATATATATGATATGATAACTGGAGGCATTATTTACAACTTACAGACATGTCTTAAATGTTCTTTTATGATGTTAAAATGATACAACAGATTCTCTGTCTAGTTTGGTGAACTTGATCGTTGTTTTGTGGGGATCGTTTGATGCTTGTTATAAACAATTATGAGAAAGCATTATTTCTGAAAAGGCAATTACAAGTGCTGGTGGCAGTGTGTTCAGTGAATGTTGCTGATATTCATGCTGATGTATGTAAAGTTTGCATGCAGAAGATAATAGCATAAAAGGACATTTAGATCATAGACTAAATAAAGTGCATTAGAGTATACACATGCAAGCACTACTTCATTGATATGAATGAAGTTCAAATCAGCCATTTTTCCTATTGGCTCCAACAACTAAAGAATCAGGTTTTAATTTCAAAAGGTGTCAGTATTACTCTGGTAAGACTAGAGAATGACAAGCATTTCCTTCCTCATTCAGATACACTTTAATTGTTAAGAATCCTGATTTAGGCTGGGCATGGTGGCTCACGCCCGTAATCACAGCACTTTGGGAGGCTGGGGCAGGGCGTGGGGGTGGATCACGAGGTCAGGAGTTCGAGACCAGCCTGGCCATCATAGGGAAACCCCATCTCTACTAAAAATACAAAAATTAGCCCGACATGGTGGCACGTGCCTGTAGTTCCAGCTACTCAGGAGGCTGAGGCAGGAGAATCATTTGAACCCGGGAGGCGGAGATTGAGGTGAGCCGAGATCACGCCACTGCATTCCAGCTTGGGCAACAGAGCGAGACTCCGTCTCAAAAAAACCCAGAATCCTGATTTAGGAACAGCCACGTTGGGAGAACAGAGAACTCAATGCATATCATCCAGTCTTGAAGCAACTGGAAATGTGCCATCAAGGAATCTTGAAAAAGTCTCAATTAAGTACCATGAAACAAATGGTTATTCATCTATTTTTAAATTTTTTAAAAGAAAGTAACCAATTTAGCCTAGAAATCGGTATCAAGGACAATAATTAATGAAAGAACAAGAGAAAATAATAACATAAAAAGTATCATTTTGAGGTATGTCATTTAAAAATGGCATTTAAAAATACAGTAAAATAGATGGTGCCTCTCCATATACAATGAAATTCTATCAAGCTTCACTGTGATAACTTGCAGAAGAGACCTTTATGAAGCTCAGCTCTTTACTTCAGATATTTAGATTTTACCTTTAGAACTAAAACAATGCTTCTCTAATTTAGCTGTAATTTTGGAATGTTTCATAATTTAGGCAGGGGAGAAGTTTTTTGGTTTTTTTGTTTTCTGTGTTTTGTTTTTTGTGAGTTTCACGCTTGCTGCCCAGGCTGGAGTGCAATGGCACAATCTCAGTCCACCGCAACCTCTGCCTCCTGGGTTCAAGTGATTCTCCTGCCTCAGCCTTCCGAGTAGCTGGGATTACAGGCATGCACCACCACGTCGGGCTAATTTTGTATTTTTAGTAGAGATGGGGTTTCTCCATGTTGGTCAGCCTGGTCTCGAACTCCCAACCTCAGGAGATCCACCCACCTCAGCCTCCCAAAGTGCTGGGATTACAGGTGTGAGCCACCGTGCCCAGCCCAAAGGGGAGAAGTTTAAACTTTGTATATTAGGAGAAAATTTGTCTTGAAAACATCATATAAACAAGAGAAGCAAAAATGTTCAATGTACTTAAGTGAATAATTTGTTCAAATAGTTTTATACTTTAAATTTACATATAAATAACTTGACATAAAAACATACCAATAGGTACTGTAGGGACATTACTTAGCACTATTTGAAAATCTCTAGATCAAGATATTATATGTTGTTGAAAATGATTCAATTCCTCCTTTCATACTTTCTAATTCTGATTGGCTTATTTTTATAATTACTGCCAACTGGTGAGGTTTGACTTATATTCTTTGCCATTTCAGGAGACATACAGGGACAGAATGTTGAAAGAGGATTGTTTAAAATCAGACCCTGTCCAGTCATCAGCTTTCTCTCTCAGACTTTCTGACCTTCATATCCTCATTTGTAAATCGGAGATAGTATCCACCTCACTGATGGAGAAAATATGTGAGAGAGTACTGTATAAATAATATAGTACTACATAATATTAGAAATCACTCAAATATGGTAAGAACCTCCTACTTTATTTTCCTCTTTTTTTTTTTTTTTTTTTTTTTTTTGGGTTTCTCTCTTGTTGCCCAGGCTGGAGTGCAATGGTATGATCTTGGCTCACTGCAACCTCTGCCTCCCAGGTTCAAGCAATTCTCCTGCCTCAGCCTCCTGAGTAGCTGGGATTATAGGCACGCGCCACCATGCCCGGCTAATTTTGTATTTTTTAGTAGAGATGAGGTTTCACCACGTTGGCCAGGCTGGTTTTAAACTCCTGACCTCAGGTGATACGCCTGCGTTGGCCTCTCAAAGAGAGAGGATAACCATATTGACAGATCGTCTTCACAAACTGCCTTGACTTTTAGGCAACATTAGTTTCCTGCTTTAAGAAAATATCTGCATTTAATCTTTGGTCAGCCTCTACTTTCATTTTTTTTGTTGTTTGTTTTGTTTTTAACAATACTGAGAGTAATTTTAACCTAATGATAAAAATGTCAAATATGAATGATTTCAAACATTTTAGTCTTCTTCCATAATCCTTAAGTTTCAGGATATCAGAGTAATGACAGATTGTTTCAGATCTCCAATTAATACAAAGACTAATTTGTCTAGTCAGGTGGGTTGCCAGATCCTTAAATGTGCTCTTAACTGGTTTCCTGTGAAATTAAACATTGGCTGTATATGTGTTTTTGAAACACCTTGAAATTGTCTTACATAAAGTTTGGATGTGGTGAATTTATTTAAAGTATTTTCTTTGAAAAAAGTTTGCTAAGTAGATCTTCCAATATTAAAAGAAAAAGGGTATCTCTGTAATAAAGTAAGAGGATTGTAATGAAAGTAAGAGGATAATTGTTCATCCATCATGCCAACTCAAGCTAGTTCTTTCTTTCCAGTGCAGCAACACATTTTAGGGCAACAAAGTTCAGAATGGATACAATGGCCTGTTCAGAAAGCATGCAAGTTATGTCAGATCATTTCTTTAAAGTCAGTATGATAAATTTGTTAACTAGACTCTGACCACAGAAAGAGAGAGATACAGGAGGTCAATGTAAATTGCAGACATGCCAGCTCTGTTGGTTCACATTACAGCTACCTAATGTTGGGCTTAATTTCTTTTTCTTCTTCTTCTTCACTATCATCAACCTGTTGGATGACCAGATCAGCAGACCCATCTTCTACAATCTCCACATAGGATCTATTCTCATCTTCACTCAAGTGCCATCTGGAATCCTTATCTCCATCTGATGGGGACATAAGATGTTGTTCAGCTTCCAAGTCAATGGGGAGGCTGTCTATGCCAAATTCTGCAAGACACTCATTACACAGTCTGTAGCGCCTGGTTCCCTCCTGTACCACTTGCCCTGTTAGATCTGTCACATGACGTTTACATTTTCTGCAGATGAGTTTACATGCCTGGTGAATCTGTGTAGAGATTTAAATAGTGATAAAAGTGATTTTTCAAAAGCAGGACAGTTTGATATTTTAGGTACCAGTTCATAAACTTAAGATGTTCAAAGCCATGCATTAAGCTCAAATTAACATCTATTATTAGAAAAAGATCAAGGGTTTTAGTGGCAAATTGATGTCACAGAAATATTAAACATCAGCTTTCTCTAAATAGTGGCTATCATGTTTTTCATTATTAATATTACATAATAATTTCACTTATCCCTTAATCCAATAGTATTTGGGTATCTGAGCTAACAACAGGATACTTCCTATGATAATAATAATTGCAAACACTTACATGCACCATGCACTTATTTATTTATTTATTTATTTTTATTATTTATTTATTTATTTATTTATTTTTGAGACAGAGTCTCACTCTGTCGCCCAGGCTGGAGTGCAATGGTGCAATGTCAGCTCGCTACAACTTCCGCCTCCAGGTTCAAGCAATTCTCTTGCTTTAGCCTCCCGAGTAGCTGGTGTTACAGGCACACGCCACCATGCCCAGCTAATTTTTGTATTTTTAGTAGAGATAGGTCAGGCTGGTCTTGGTCTGGCTGTTGGTCAGGCTGGTCTTGAACTCCTGACCTTGTCATCCATCTGCCTCGGATGCCCACAGTGCTGGGATTATAGGCGTGAGCCACTGTGCCCAGCATACTTTTTATTTTTAAGATAGGGTCTCCCTCTGTCACCCAGGCTGGGGTGTAGTGGTGACCACAGCTCACTGCAGCCTCAACCTCCCAGGCTCAAGCAATCTTCCCATCCCAACCTACCAAGGAGCTGGGATTACAGATGCATGCCACCACATCTGGCTAATTAAAACAAAAAACAAAATTTTGTAGAGAAAGGGTCTTGCTATGTTGTCCAGTCTGAACATATCTTAATTTGAAGTGGTGGTGGGGGTGGAATCTCTCTTGTTTTGTGTATTAATTTTTTGTTATTTTACTAGAGAAAGATAAATATTATAAAGATTTAAATGTATCAATATTTTAGATAGAAGGAGTACTTGCCATTTTTATTAATAAAAGATCTGGTGGAGAGAGGACCACACAGGGATTGGAAGGCTTGGGGTTCTAGTCATTTACTATCTTCGTCACTTACTAACCATGTATCTTGGAGCAAGTAATTTAAAACATTATATAAACCTGCTTTAGGGTGACAGTTAAAATATTTAACTGGTGAGATATGGGCACCACCCAGACAGATGAGAAACCTGACTAATTCTACTGGACACTCGTCATAAACAACTACTATGGTGCTGCTTCTACGTATCAGCCTAGTATCTTTGCTTGCTTCCTATGGCTAATGGGAATACCACTCACAGGGCTAACATGAGGACCAAATGAGTTAACCCGTGAAATGCTTTGGTAAACATTTGTAGTTGAGGAATAATTAGGTATTATAATTAGTAATAAACAACTTTGTTCAACAGCTGTCAGAACAGTAGATTATGGGTTCTAATCTAAAACTTATGAACATTAATTGTATAGGCTGGGCATGGTGGCTCATGCCTGTAATCCCAGCACTTTGGGAGGCCGAGGCAGGCGGGTCGCTTGAGGTCAAGAGATCGAGACCATCCTAGCTAACACAGTGAAACCCCGTCTCTACTAAAAATACAAAAAAAAAAAAAAATTAGGCAGGCCTGGTGGCGGGTGCCTGTAGTACCAGCTACTCGGGAGGCAGAGGCAGGAGAATGGCGTGAACCAGGGAGGTGGAACTTGCAGTGAGCTGAGATCGCACCACTGCACTCCAGCCTGGGCGACAGAGCAAGACTCCATCTCAAAAATAAGTAAATAAATAAATAAATAAAGTCAGGACCGTGTAGAAGTAGGCCACTAAACACAGTAAAAATATCCAAGAAGCTGGACACGGTGGTCCACACCTGTAATCCCAGCACTTTGGGAGGCCAAGGTGGTTGGATCACTTGAGGTCAGGAGTTCAAGACCAGCCTGGCCAACATCGTAAAACTCCATCTTTACTAAAAAAAAAAATACAAAAATTAGCTGGGCATGGTGGTACATGTCTGTAATCCTAGCTATGCAGGAGGCTGAGGAAGGAGAATCACTTGAGCCTGGGAGGTGGAGGTTGCAGTGAGCTGAGATTGCGCCACTGCACTCCAGCTTAGATGACAGAGTGAGACTCCATCTCAAAAAAAAAAAAAAAAAATCCAAGAAAGCTAATATAGTCTGGTAAAATATGTAGGAAAACATATGTAGCTACCACTAGTACAGTTATTATCCTGTGCATAACTGTTGACATATTAATCAGTAAACACTGAAAGTACACAATTTGAATGAATCCTGATTTCTCCTGAGATAGTAATATTATGTGTACTAGATTGGGTGTGGTGGCTCACACCTGTAATCCCAGCACTTTGGGAGGTGGAGGTGGGTGGATCACTTGAGGCCAGGAGTTCAAGACCAGACTGGCCAACATAGTAAAACCCCGTCTCTACTAAAAATAAAAAAAAATAATCAAAAAAAAAAAGTAGCTGGGTATGGTGGCGTGTGCTTGTAATCCCAGCTACTCGGGAGGCCAAGGCAGGAGAATCTCTTGAACCCAGCAGGTGGAAGTTGTGGTGAGCCGAGATCATGCCACTGCACTCCAGCCTGGATGATAGAGCGAGACTCTGTCTCAAAAACAAAACAAAACAAAAAACTATGGGTATCAAATGTGGTATTGTTTTTGTTACAAGCTCTGATACAGATTCATGTCCATCCCTCCAAAATATATATCTTCTAACTCTATCCACTGAAATAGTGTAAAAGAAATGACACCTCCATAACAATGATTGCCCAGACTTTGAGCTCTAATTTCACTTTCCATTAAAGGAAACGGATTGAGAAATGGCTGGTTCCAGCTCTGTTGTAGGGAAAGTACAAAGTGAGTCTTGGCCTCTTTTGGAGTCAGAGAACAAGGACACTTTCAAAATTTAATGGAGTTGTGACAAAAGGAGACAAGAGCCAGTGGCAAGGTAGAGACTGTTCACTGGATAAAACTGAAAATTTGAGTATCAAAAAGAATAATAATTGTGGATCCAGACATAATAAACCAATACAAATTCCTGAGACCATCTGATACCTAAAAATATAAGACCAGCAGGTGTGGTGGCTCACGCCTGTAATCCCAGTACTTTGGGAGGCCAAGGTGGATGGATCACTCAAGGTCAGGAATTGAAGACCAGCCTGGCCAACATGGTGAAACCCCATCTCTACTAAAAATACAAAAACTAGGTGGGCACCTGTAGTCCCAGCTACTTGGGAGGCTGAGGCAGGAGAATTGCTTGAACCTGGGAGGCAGAGGTTGCAGTGGGCCAAGATTACGCTATTACATTCCAGCCTGGGCAACAGAGTAAGACTCTGTCTCCAAAAAAAAAAAAAAAGAAAGAAAGCAGGTGTAGTGAAGACCCTCTTTGGTTGGATAGCAGCAACTAGACTGAGATCCTTCCAGACAAGGATTCAGTAATCACTGGTAGATGCTGAGTATCTGCAGTAGTGATTCTGACCTAGACACTTAAAACATTTATACAGTTTACATTATCTTTGGCTCTGAACAGACCAGTATATAAAAACATGTTAGACTAAGTGAATTAAAATGGAAATATAAAACTGCCATGAAAAGAATATACCCCACTTCAAGGTCTAAAAGGACAATAAAAATCAATATATATAATTATGCTTTATGTGCAAAGTAAAAACACTAAGTTGGAGGAATTTTAAATATAGTAGAGTTGTGTGAAAATATTTCCCTCAGCAAATGAGATGATCCTAAAGCCCATAAATGTACATCTTTTTTTTTTTTTACACAGGGTCTCACTGTGTCATCCAGGCTGGAGTGCAGTGGCTTGATCTTAGCTCACTGTAACCTCCACTTCCAGGTTCAGGCGATTCTTGTGCCTCAGCCTCCTGAGTAGCTGGAATTACAGGTGTGAGCTACCACACCGCACTAATTTTTGTATTTTTGGTGGATGGGGTTTCACCATTTTAGCCAGGCTGGTCTTGAACTGAACTGGCCTCAAGCCATCTGCCTGCCTTGGCCTCCCAAAGTGCTGGGATTACTGGTGTGAGCCACTGCGTCTGGCCAAATGTACATATTTCTTAAGAAGTAAAATGATGGGTCAGGTGCGATGGCTCACGCCTGTAACCCTAGCATTTTGGGAGGCCGAGGCAGATGGATCACTTGACCCCAGGAGTTCAAGACCAGCCTGGGCAACATGATGAAATCCCATCTCTACAAAAAATACAAAAATACAAAAATTAGCCGGCGTGTTGGTGCAGGCCTGTAGTCCCAGCTACTCAGGGACTAGTAGCTGAGGAGGAAGGATAATTTGAGCCTGAGAAGTTGTGGCTGCAGTGAGCTGAGATGGTGCCACTGCACTCCAGCCTGGGTGATAGAGAGAGACCCTGTCTCAAAAAAAAAAAAAAAAAAAAAAAAAACCAAGGCCGAGCGTGGTGGCTCATGCCTATAATCCCAGCACTTTCGGGAGGCTAAAGCAGGTGAATCACCTGAGGTCAGGTGTTCGAGACCAGTCAGGCCAATGTAGTGAAACCCCATCTCTATTAAAAATACAAAAATTAGCCAGGCGTGGCACACCCCTGTAATCCCAACTACTCGAGAGGCTGAGGCGGGAGAATTGCTTGAACCCGGGAGGCAGAGGTTGCAGTGAGCTAAGATTGTTGCCTGGGCAACAAGTGAAACTCCATCCATCTTAGCTAACACAGTGAAACCCTGTCCCTACTAAAAATACAAAAAAAAAAAAAAAAAAAAAAAGAAATTAGCTGGGCGTGGTGGCAGGCACCTGTAGTCCCAGCTACTAGGGAAGCTGAGGCAGGAGAATGGTGTGAACCCAGGAGGCAGAGGTTGCAGTGAGCCAAGATCGCACCACTACACTCTAGCTTGGGTGACAGAGCAAGATTCCATCTCAAAACAAACAAACAAACAAAGAAAACAAAAAAGAATTAGTAAAACGATGAAAAAAAATCATACATACTGTTCGAAAATGGCTACTTAGATGGTCTAGTCTGCTAAATCTTTTTCCGCAGGCTTGACATGGATAGGGCCTTTCTCCTGTATGACAGCGAAGGTGGCGCTTTAGGTCTGCCTTCCGCTTCACCACATGTGTGCAGTACGGGCACTTGAATCGCATCCGGGGCAGATCATCTGTCAAGAGACGCTTTGATTAAATCATTGGAAAGTTCATAATAACAATTCTAATAACAGAAAGAATCCAATCCAACCCCACTGGAAACAAGAAAGAAAAAAATAAGATTAAAAAAAATTATGAAATAAAAAGAATGCACAAAGAGTTGGTGAGCCCAAAAAATAACAGATGAAAGAAATTTTATTAAGCCTAGATTGTCAATATAATTCTAAGTATAGAACTTTAACTTCAGTATTTGATATACTTAGAAAGTTGGGTAAATTTGGCCGGGCATGGTGGCTCACACCTGTAATCCCAGCACTTTGGGAGGCCAAGGCAGGCAGATCACGAGATCAGGAGATCGAGACCATCCTGGCTAACACAGTGAAACCCCGTCTCTGCTAAAAAATACAAAAAATTTGCCGGGCATGGTGGCAGGCGCCTGTAGTCCCACCTACTTGGGAGGCTGAGGCAAGAGAATGGCGTGAACCCAGGTGGAACTTGCAGAGAGCTGAGATGGCACCACTGCACTCCAGCCTGGGTGACAGAGCGAGACTCTGTCTAAAAAAATAAATAAATAAATAATAAAAAAAAAGCAAGTTGGGTAAAATCAGACTGATACAGACTGCCATGCCTTTTTTTTTTTTTTTTTTTTTTTTTTTTGTGGGATGGAGTTTCACTCTGTCGTCCAGGCTGGAGTGCAAGACGCAATCTCCGCTCACTGCAACCTCCGCCTCCTGGGTTCAAGCAATTCTCTTGCCTCAGTCTCTTGAGTAGCTGGGATTACAGACACGCACCAGAACGCCTAGCTAATTTTTGTGTTTTTAGTAGAGACAGGGTTTCACCATGTCGGTCAGGCTGCTCTCAAACTCCTGACCTCGTGATCCGCCCGCTTCTACCTCCCAAAGTACTGGGATTACAGGCGTAAGCCACTGCGCCCAGCCCGCCATGCTTTTTTTAAAAAATTTAATGTAGTAGGGTCATTAGATTTTAAATGTAAAATAGTACTATATTTTAAAACTGTACACAATTTCAAAGTAAAAGTATTTAATATTTAGGCTTTTTTCTTGGAGGAAAATCACTTGAGGTCAGGAGCTTGAGACCAGCTTGGCCAACATGGTAAAACCCCATCTCTACCAAAAATAAAAAAATTAGCCAGGTGTGGTGGCGCATGCCTGTAATCTCAGTGATTTGGGAGGCTGAGGGGGTAGAATCACTTGAACCCAGGAGGTGAAAGTTGCAGTGAGCCAAGATTGTGCCACTGCACTCCAGTCTAGGCAACAGTGTGAGACCCTGTCTCAAAAAAAAAAAAAAAAAAAAATTATTGTTCAATTTAGGTATGACAATAGTACTATAGTTTTTTTCTATACTATTTTAAGGACACATTCTGAACGATTTACAAGTGAAAACATATGATGTCTGAGATTGGTTTAAAAGTAATAAAGGGAGTGGGTTAGGGATAAGGATACAGACATGAGACAGGCCATGAGTTGGAGGTTGTGGGACTAGGTCATGGATGCATGGAGGTTAATTATACCGTTCTCTTTTTACTTTTGTATATGTTTGAAACTTTTCTAAAATAAAAATCAGGCTGGACATAGTGGCTCATTCCTGTAATCCCAGCACTTTGGGAGGCTGAGGAGGGAGGATCATTTCAGGCCAGGAGTTCAAGACCAGCCTGGGAAATATAATAAGACCCACGATCTCTACAAAATAGCAAAATAAAATAAAATAAAATATGTAATCTGTAGCTTACAACCTTAAGGAGTTTCATTTTAATATAATTTCCTTTAAATTTACATGGAAACTATTAAGCAAATTTGTTAACTGATTAATGGGGGGAAAATCGTATGATACGCATTTCTTATCCCTATTCTCTACTTCCAGAGTGAGGATTATTCTGAAACTGTCAATTTACATGATCTTTCTGCATTTTACTATTATCATGAAAATGAGATGTCTCATGTTGCACATTGGTCCACGGTAGACTTACAGGATCAGTGTCACGGGTTGTATGTGAGGTGTTCTTTTTTGGGTGGGAGATGGGCTCTATGTTTCCTCTGCTGGTCTTTTAACTCCTGGGCTCAAGTGATGCTCTGCCTTAGCCTCCCCAGTAGCTAGGACTACAGGCATTCCTTAAAAAAAAAAAATGATGTGTTGGGCGCAGCGACTCATGCCTGTAATCCCAGCACTTTGGGAGGATGAGGAGGCCAAATCACCTGAGGTCAGGAGTTCAAGACCAGCCTGGGAAACATGCAGAAACCCCGTCTCTACTAAAAATACAAAAAATTAGCTGCGCATGGTGGCAGACGCCTGTAATCCCAGCTACTCCGGAGGCTGAGGCAGGAGAATTGCTTGAACCCGGGAGGCGGAGGTTGCAGTGAGCCGAGATTGCGCGTTGCACTCTAGCCTGGGCAACAAGAACAAAATTCCGTCTCAAAAAAAGAAAAAAAAAAGAAGTATTTGTATCTTTTTTTTTTTTTGAGATGGAATCTCCCTCTGTCACCCAGGCTGGAGTACAGTGGCGTGATCTCGGCTCACCACAACCTCCACCTCCCGGGTTCAAGCAATTTTCCTGCCTCAGCCTCCTGAGTAGCTGGTATTATAGGCGTGTGCCACGCCCGGCTTATTTATTTTGTATTTTTAGTAGAGACGGGGTTTCATCATATTGGCCAGGCTGGTCTTGAACTCCTGACTTTGTGATCCACCTGCCTCATCCTCCCAAAGTGCTGGGATTACAGGCGTGAGCCACCATGCCCAACCTGTGTTTGTATCTTAATAAGCTAAATATTCCTCTGAGTAAATACACAGAAAAAAAAAAAGACTACTTAAAAGTGAAAATATGTGTCTTAGAGATTAAACTATTTAGAAAAGAGCTTTAAACATTTAAGAGTAATCTAACCACCCACAGATACAGGTTTGAAAAATCATGGGTTCTGACCCTTAGTACTCTTATTATTTTGATTGTCATTATATTTATTCAATATTATTTTGAATTAAAAAATTTAAATCCACGTTTTATGAAACAAATTTCTTCTTCCCTTTTTTTTTTTTTTTGAGACAGAGTCTCGTTCTATTGCCCAGGATGGAGTGCAGTGGCGCAATCCCAGCAAACTGCAACCTCTGCCTCCCAGGCTCAGGTGATTCTCCTGCTTCAGCCTCCTGAGTAGCTGAGACTACAGGTGTGCACCACTATGCCTGGCTAATTTTTTTTGTTTTTTGAGAAGGACTCCCACTCTGTCACCCAGGCTGGAGTGCAGTGGCGCAATCTCAGCTCCCTGCAACCTCCGCCTCCTGGGTTCAGGTGATTCTCCTGCCTCAGCCTCCTGAATAGCTGGGATTACACCACCATGCCCCGCTAATTTTTTTGTACTTTTAGTAGAGACAGGGTTTTGCCATGTTGACCAGGCTGGTCTTGAACTCCTGACCTCAGGTGATCTGCCCACCTCAGCCTCCCAAACTGCTGGAATCACAGGCGGGAGCCACCATGCCTGTCCTTACTAAATAAATTTCATTACAGAAATAGAACTTTTGAAAAAAATCACTTGCTTCAACTGCTTAGAGCACCTGAAACTAAGGGTGTTTTGACAGAAGACCGATTTATATAGCACTTTGGAACCTGGATGAGGGGACTTATGCTCTTCTTGGGTACCTGGAAAACTCTTGGATGTGACATCAGATCCTTGACCGTACTGATAGCCAACAGGAGGAGAGTCCATTTCAGCATCAATTTGTGCTTGTTCTTCAGACTGGGAAACATGGCTGGAAGAATCAGATGTTCGTGCTTCTCGTTTGCTTGACTTATAATGAGTAACTTCAGAAGGCTGTGACAATCTCAAATGTTTGGTCTTTTTAATGGACTCTTTCCTTGGTTCATGCTTGGCCAAGGGTTGTTGAGTATTCTTCTGGGAGGCTGGATGATAATTATACTTATTCCAAGATTTTCCACTTATTATACCTGTTCCTTGCTCTGGGCTTAGGTGAGAACGTGGAGAACTGCTTCCTTCCTGCCAGCCACCACTATAAAAAGAGGAACGTTCTACACCATTAGAATTGGCATCTTTATCTGAGAGACTGAAATAGCGATCTTTTTCTTTCTCACTAATGTCTAAGGAAGATTTAATAAAAGTCTTACATACACTTATGACATCAGTCATCTGAAGGAAGCTAGCAGCCGACATCACTTCTATGACATTCTGACCAGTTAGAGACAGTTTGCCAGAATATACGAAGTCCAAGATAACTGTAAAAGTGTCAGGGGAGAAAGCCTGAAATGTAGCTGTGGTTGGCTGACTTGTCTCTTTTGAATTCTGAGAAAGAAGCATTTTAAAGTAGCCGCTACTAGCAAATAATACATTTCGATGTGCTTTGAAGACCTTCCCTTCAACTAGAATACTGCAGTCACAAAATACATCTTGCCTGCGCTGCTCGTTCAGTTGCTGCAGGAGGTGAGACTGATGAGAGGAGATCTCCATTCTGAAGAGGAAAAGACACGTGTGGTTACCAAAACCTACATTACAATTATTTTATTTTGTTTTGAGACAGGATCTTGCTCTGTTGCCCAGGCTGCACTGCAGTGGTGTAATCAAAGCTCACTGTGGCTGGGCACAGTGGCTCACTCCTGTAAGCCCAGCACTTTGGGAGAATGAGTGGGGGGGATCACCTGAGGTCAGGAGTTCGAGGCCAGCCTGGACAACATGGTAAAACCCTGTCTCTACCAAAAATACAAAAATTAGCTGGGTGTGGTGGCAGATGCCTGTAATCCCAGCTACTTGGGAGGCTGAGGCAGACGAATTGCTTGAACCTGGGAGGCAGAGGTTGCAGCGAGCCAAGATTGCACCACTGCACTCGAGCCTGGGCCACAGAGCAAGACTCCATCTCAAAAACCAAACAAACACCCAAAAAACAAACAAATAAAAAATGCTCACTGCAACCTTAAACTGGTTTCAAGTGATCCTCCTACCTCAGCCTCCAAGTAGCTGGGACTACAGGTGTGCACCACCATGCCTGGCTATTTTTTTTTTTTAATAGAGATAAGGTCTCGCTACGTTACCCCAGCTGGTCTCTAACTCCTGGACTCAAGCAATCCTCCTGCCTCAGCCTCCCAAAGTGAACAATCCTTTTCTAAGGTGAGTCAACTAAAATAATAATCAGAAGCCTCTTTTATTCCATTAAGAACTCTTTCTTGTTGGAGAATATAATTGCCAAGACACAGAAGATAATAGGTTTCAACACATCACTTAATACTAGACTGTTATTGCCCGGGCGTGGTGGCTTATGTCTGTAATCCCAGCACTCTGGGAGGCCGAGGCGGGCAGATCACAAGGTCAAGAGCCAAAGATCATCCTGGCCAACATGATGAAACCCCGTCTCTACTAAAAATATGAAAATTAGCTGGGCATGGTGGTGCATGCCTGTAGTCCCAGCTGCTCAGGAGGCTGAGGCAGGAGAATTGCTTGAACCTGGGAGGTGGAGGTTGCAGTGAGCTGAGGTTGCAGCACTGCACTCCAGCCTGGTAGCAGAGCAAGGCTCTGTCTCAAACGAAAACAAAAACAAAAAACAAAACAAAACAAAAAAAACAAAAACAAAAAACAAACCGAGACTGTTACTAGACTTTTTAGAAAATTACTTGTTTTATTAGCAAAATTTATTGAGTATCTTCTTCTTCTTCTTTTTTTTTTTTTTTTTTGAGACACAGTCTTGCTCTGTAACCCAGGCTAGAGTGCAGTGGCGTGATCTCAGCTTACTGCAACCTCCACCTCCCAGGTTCAAGCGATTATCCTGCCTCAGCCTTCCGAGTAGCTGGGATTACAGGCCATCGCGCCCGCTATCGTGCCCGGCTAATTTTTGTATTTTTAGTAGAGATGGGGTTTCACCATCTTGGCCAGGCTGGTCTTGAACTCCTGACCTCGTGATCCACCCACCTTGGCCTCCCAAAGTGCTGGGATTACCGGCGTGAGCCACCATGCCCAGTCTTCTTTCATTTTTTATATATAGAGATGAGGTCTCAATATGTTGCCCAAGCTGGTCTTGAACTCCCAGGCTCAAGAGATCCTCTGGCCTCAGCCTCCCAAAATACTAGGATTACAGGTGTGAGCATGTTCAATAAATCAGGCCTTTTGCTATATGTTGAGCCAACACATTTGATTTTTGCCTTCATGTTGTTTTCAATCTAAAAGGGTTATCAGACATTAAACAAAGACTCCAGCCCAGGGTGGTAGCTCATGCCTGTAATCCCAGCACTTTGGGAGACAGAGGCAGGAGGACAGCTTGAGCCCAGGAGTGAGAGAATAGGCTATTCAACATAGCAAGACCCGATCTCTACAAAAAACAAACAAACAAACAAATATATATATATATCTTTTAATTAGCCAGGTGTGATGGACAGCACCTGTAGTCCTAGCTATTTAGGAGGCTGAGGCAGGAGGATCACTTGAGTCCAGGGGGTGGAGGCTACAGTGAGCCATGATAACAACACTCACTGTACACCAGCCTGGGCCACAGAGACTCTGTCTCTAAAAAAGTTAAATTAGGCCGGGAGTGGTGGCTCACACCTGTAATACCAGCACTTTGGAAGGCTGAGGCAGGTGGATCACTTGAGGTCAGGAGTTCAAGACCGGCCTGGCCAACATGGTGAAACCCCAATTTCTACTAAAAATACAAAAAAAAAAAAAAATTAGTTGGGCATCGTGGCGCACACCTGTAATCCCAGTTACTTGGGAGGCTGAGGCAGGAGAATCGCTTGAACCCAGGAAGTGGAGGTTGCAGTGAGCCGAGATTGCACCACTGCACTCCAGCCTGGGCGACAGAGTGAGATTCCATATATATATATATATATGTATGTGTGTGTGTGTGTGTATGTATATATAGTTAAATTTAATTAAATTCAACAAAGACTTGTATGAAGTTACAATGACAAGTTAAGTGCTAAGAAAGAAAGAAGGTGCTATGAGTAGTATAAAGGGGCTATGAGTAGTATCCTAGCTTAGACTGAGATGGAGAAGGTTGGGGATACCTCTTTAGAAGTAACATTTAAACTGAGACCTCAAAGGTGAGCAGGAATTAGCCAGGTAGAGTGATGAGAAAAATTTCTGGTTCCAGCAAAATAGTGGTGAAAACTTTTCTGCCACAAATCCCTAGAGATGCTGGATAAAATACAGCTGAAGTGTTTTAAAGGTGTGGCTGAGCTTGCAAGAAAGATGTAGAAATCCCTAGATGCCAGCTAAGCAGAGGCAGCACAGCCTGAGCTGTGTGGGCCAGTAATGGCTAAGGGACTAGGTCCTTACCAGTACCAAACTCTGATCTATTAGAGCTGACAGCTGGGAAGTTAGAACCCTCTGAGGACCACAACCTTAGTGAAAAGGGACTAAAAATTCTGACTGGCTAAGTCCAATGAGAAGGTAAAGAAAGTTTGTCTTTGCAGGGCCCTGGGTAGGGAAAAAAAGGCCCTAGGTGAAATACTGAAGCCCAGTGGTTTGCCTTGAGAGATTCTGGAGGCCAGATTTACTTTACCTGCTTGGTGTGGGAAATCTCAATCTGAAAAATTAACATGGGCCGGGCACAGTGGCTCATGCCTGTAATCCCAACACTTTGGGAGGCTGAGACGGACAGATCGCTTGAGCCCAGGAGTTTGAGATCAGCCTGGGCAACATGGTAAGATCCCCATCTCTATAAAAATAAATAAATAAATAAAGTTTAAAAAAAGAGAAATTAACCTGAAAATTGGTCCCAGGCTGGTAGTGCCTTCAGGGCACCTTGCAGAAGCAAATGTGACATTGCTCAGGAAGGGTGAGTCTCTGAACCCAAGCCAGGCAGAAATAAGCTGTGCTTAAGCTGAATGCAAAATGATTCCCCTCTGTACACAAAGTGGGTAATTGCAAATATTGTACAAACATGATATCAAGTATCTCCTATCTTAAAAACAGAGGCCGGGCGTGGTGGCTCACACCTGTAATCCCAGCACTTTGGGAGGCCGAGGCGGGCAGATCACCTGAGGTTAGGAGTTCAAGACCAGCCTGGCCAGCATGGTGAAACCCCATCTCTAATAAAAGTACCAAAAAACCAGCTGGGCATGGTGGAGCGTACCTGTAATCCCAGCTACTCAGAAGGCTGACGTAGGAGATTCGCTTGACCCTGGGAGGTGGAGGTTGTAGTGAGCAGAGATTGCGCCACTGCACTCCAGTCTGGGCAACAGAGTGACACTGCACCTCAAACAAACAGGCTGGGCACGGTGCCTCACACCTGTAATCCCAGCACTTTGGGAGGCTGAGGCGGATCACTTGACGTCAGGATTTCTAGACCAGCCTGACCAACATGATGAAGCCCCATCTCTACTAAAAATACAAAAATCAGCTGGGTGTGGTTGTGGGCGCCTGTAATCCCAGCTACTCAGGAGGCTGAGGCAGGAGAATCGCTTGAACCTGGGAGGCAGAAGCTGCAGTGAGCCGAGATTGCGACACTGCACTCCAGCCTAGGTGACAGAGCAAGACTGTAACTCAAAAACAAACAAACAGATGTGCCAACAAAAACTTCCCCTTTGGCCTGGGTGACACGAGACTCCATCTCAAAAACAAAAAACAAAAAAAACTTCCCCTTGATTTCACATCTACTTTTGGCTTCTATTCCATTTTTCTTTTCAACTCCCTTTACACAAAATTCATTGAAATAGTTTTGTTCTGTTTTGTTTGTATTTGCTGTCTCCCTGTCTCTCTTGAACCCATTCCAATCAGGTTTTCATCACCATCCATCAAAACCACTCTTTTTTTTTGAGTTAGAGTCTCACTCTGTCACCTAGGCTGGAGTGCAGTGGCGCGATCTCGGCTTACTGCAACCTCTGCCTCCCGGGTTCAAGAGATTCTCCTGCCTCAGCCTCCTGAGCAGTTGGGACTACAGGTGCGTGCTACCACACCCAGCTAATTTTTGTATTTTTGGTAGAGATGGGGTTTCACCATGTTGGCCAGGCTGGTCTCAAACTCCTGACTTCAGGTGATCTGCCTGCTTCGGCCTCCCAAAGTGCTGGGATTACAGGCGTTAGCCATCGGGCCTGGCCAAAACCATCCTTTTTGTGGTTATTAGTAACTTGCATGTTGTCAAATCCAATGATCATTTCTTTGTCTTCATTTTGCCTATACAGTTGATCATTGTCTTCATCCTAAAACACTTTTTTCACTTGACCACCAGGACACTACTCCTTCATGGCTCTCCTACCTCACTGGCTACTCCTTCTCAGTCTCCTTTGCTGGTTCTTCTCCATTTTCCTAATCTCCAAATTTTGGAATGTACAGGGTCTCAGGCCTCAAACATCTTCTCTACCTATATTGTTCCCTAGGGAGTATTTAGGATCCCATCCAGGCTCATAGTTTCAAACATCAAGCAAGCAATCAGTTCTGCACTGACACCAGCAAGTTGTCCTGTAATTCAATTCAATTCCAACACTATGTAACTGGAGAGAGCATCAGATCCCAGAGGTTGAAGGC